CTAGCTATGGACCATTTAGCCACTGCCATCAGGATGAATGGGGATATTCGGGGGATTGCGGTGGGGGGCAGGACACAAAAATTAAGGGGGATATTCACAAAGCTGCCGAAATGATTTCAGCCATACATCGGCTAAAATCAGCCCTACATTCGGCTCAGCTGTTCTGCTTGGCACCTTCGTGGTACCGAGCAGAACAGAAAATCAATGAAAATACTCAGGATTTTTTTTTTAATAAATAGTAAAATTAATAAATAAATAAAGATTTAAAAAACAGCCTGCTCCGCCCAACTGTTTCCTATTGGCCGGCACCTGCTAGAGTCTTCTAGCAGGTCCCGACTAATGAATAACAACTGGGTGGAGCCAGCCGTGATGTCACGGCCGGCTCTGCCCAGTTGTTGTTGTTTAATGACAGTTCAGCGTCCCCAGGTCATTTGGAGACACTGATCTGTCATTATAACTGGGCCGAGCCAGCCTTAAGATCACAGCTGGCTCTGCCCAGCTGTCATTTGCGGAGCGAAAGGCCGGCCTTCGGCAGGCTGTTCCCTCCGATTCGGCTGTCACTTCGGCTCAGTTGAGTGGATGATGATCCACTTCTTTATATCTCTAATCCGACTTTTGCCTTCCCTTCACTTTTAAAAGAGATAGAGCATTTTAGACGTCTTAGTAACTATCGTATAAAGGCTTCAAAGACAAAAAGGGTAATTCACTAAGCTACCGAAGGCAACCGATCGAATAACCAAGCCTAAGTGAAGTAAGCTGTTCGGCTATTCACTTTAGCGTTGTACGGCTGATTTCAGCCGTACATCGGCTAAAATCAGCCGTACATCATCTGCCTTTCGGTCAGTTGCTATTGTTTAATCAGCTGCCTTCGGTCAGTTGTTATTGACAGATCAGATCATTTGGGGATGCTGATCTGTCATTACAACTGGGTGGAGCAGGCCCCCTTAGGCAAGACTTGACACCATTTGAAGATCTATGTCTGAACAGAACAGAATGTAAACATAAGGTCTCTAAGGTATACTGTATGCTTTTGAAGCATGCCTTTCCTAATGATCCCTTTTATACTAGAGGTTGGGAAAATTAACTAGGCTATAGGATATCTGCAGACGATTGGACTCGTTAATTTGTTCTAACATTTAAATCAAGCATTTCAAGTCATATACAGGAATGTAATTTTAGGATTCTGACCAGATGGTATAGATGCCCTACCCATATACACAAGATCTTCCCAGATGTATCTGACTGCTGCTGGAGGTGTGGAGTTGAAAAGGGCACCATGACACAGGTTTGGTGGTCTTGACAAAAGATTCAACCCTTCTGGGGGGTCATTTTTAAAATAGGAGCCCAACTTAGTGGTGTTGAGAGACCTGTAACCCCAGAGGTGGCATTACTAACCATCATACCAGGAACAATAAAAGAAGTAAAGAAAGGTCTATTCCGCGTTCTTCTTTTTGCTGCCAGAACAGTGATAGCACGATATTGCAGGTATTCAGAAATTCCGCAAATTAGAAAATGGGTTAAAGAACTCAATTTTATAAGAAGGATGGATGGCTTCCATGATCGATATCCTGAATTTTTAGAGATCTGGAGTCCTTGGATACAGTTCACTTCCTCTGCATTAGGGTTACAGGAATAAATATAGTAAGAGTATACTAGAATTCTCCACTACCTGGTCCCCGGAGGGGAGAAAGAGGGGGGGGGGAGGTAA